TGCAGATTAAAATGTTCAACTAGAATAGTAGTAATGACGAGAGAATTATGGGGAGGTTTTGGGATTTAGGTAACCGTGAAAGGCAATAATCGCTGAAGACTCATCATCAGGACCTAAAAAGAAGAACGAAATATGTGATTTTATAACAATATTTTTGTTGTCTGAAATAAAACATAGTAATTATAGTATAAGAACGTTATTGCATGTATTACTATTGCTGACTTTGTTCCATAAGCAAAACATTATTTACTTCAAACATTTCCTCAGAATCAATTAACAAATCCATCATTTCATTTATTCCTGCAATGTTTGCGTCGAACGGAAGTGGCGACTCTGCAATAAAATAAAAAATACTTAAAACTGCTATTTTTTGGAAAGAAAGACAAGGGAGACGCGGGGCCAATGAAGTTGCTAGTTGCTTATTTAAAAAGTATATAGCTAAATACAGGATCAGGGCACACGTGAATTTCGGTTTTGGTCGGACTATTGTGTAGGCCAAAACCGAAATCGAATTGTTTATGCTATGTATATGCACGCAGCTATTACGTTTAAAGTCACTATTCATTATTGCTTTTAAGAAGTCGGTCATACCCAAAGTAAAGGTAACAGCGTCCACGCATTAATTGAGAAAACTGCTAAGAATAAGCTTATTTATACACCATTTGAGTTGTATTGTTTAGTTTGTTGGGATAAACAAACTGGAAAGCCTTAGGTTGTCGAAGAATTGCAGTTTACCAACTTTTTTAATTACAAAGCTTTATTAAAGGGAAATTGGGTGAAAAGCACTAATGGGGATAAAGTGCAATGGAATAAAATTAGAGAAATCCTTGTAAAACCGGAAGAACCCTATAAGTTATTTTATAAATATGATTTAGCTGCGGATGATTGTCATGTTTTATGTTGAAGGCATCCAGGACACAATATGTTTCTAATAAGCACTTTATGAAACCGGTCTGCCTATTCCCAAGGCAAAAAAATGACTTAGTGAATATGTGCAAGTCTCAGATCTTCCCAGTACTCACCATGTTTTTTTCCAAAGTTTACCAGAGAGCGACAATAATTTTAATATTGACACAGATTCGGATTTTTTTTTTATAGTAAAATCTTAAAGTAACTTTTTAGGTAACTATGTGATTTGTAATTTTTATAGACTGAAAAATTAGTCTGAAAGTTCTTATGGTAAATATTGTTGATTTTTTCTTTGGAATAGATTTGTTTAATTTTTTGAAATTTTATTAGGGTTTTTTAAAAGAATTTGCTTGTTGGGATAAACAAACATTTGATTGGTCAATGCTGAAATAAAAAATATAACATGTCATTCGTATCAATTTTGTTTTGTTATTGACATAATTGTAATTTTTCTTTAGATGTGAATTGAACTGACTGATAACTTTTATTCGAGAATCGAAATTTTTTACCAATGTTGATTTTGAAGGCTGTGATTGCAAAATAAAATACTTTTCAGTTTTATTAAAGTTATTTTATTTAAAATTTCATTTAATATTTTGCTTACATTCTATCGTAAGTTCACAGATTTTGAAATTCACTATTGAGATATCGATGTAAGTAATTGTAACTATATCATACGATATTTAACCATTAACACAGTTCAGTGTAAAGTATGGGAAGTACATATATACAATAAAATACTACTGAATTTTTCCAATGTAAAAAACCGTATGTGACTTTTAAAGAAATCCACCAAAATATTCAAGTAATCTTATCAAAGGTTACATTCCAATTATAAATATATAGGCGAATGCCAATTTTGATTCTCGTACAAGAATACCTGTCTTCGTGGGAACCAATAATGTGCATGCGAATCTTAAAATTGCTGTACTGTAAAGTTGATCAAATACACTTACGATATTATACGTAGGAGGTGTCGATATCACTGATAGGTCGGTGGTTAGAAAGAAGAATCGTCCAGAATAGGGGATCTTGTAAAATAAAATCTCACTTGATACATATCAGCATCATCCTATTAGTGTTCCAACTGCTGAGGCACAGGCCTTCCCTATGGATGGCATAGGGAGATTGTGCCATGACCCACCACGCGGGTCAAGTGCGGATTGGTGGATGGTAACGACTGCAGATGCATGCCAACGGCTTAACGTGCCTTCCGAAGCACGGAGGAGCTCGAGATAGTAAATTTTTGGTCACCCATCTAATAACCGACCACTGCGAAAAATGGTTAACTTCAACGATCGCAGCCGAACGCGCTAACCACTTGCGCCACTGAGCTCCTCCATATGTTGATACATATATTAAAGTTATATTAGTTAAATTTGAATTATATTAATTCAAGGCCAAAATGTCGGAATGCATAAAATTCAAAATTTTATATCGTTTACACAGCCTAGGCTATTACAAGCACCTGTGAATGTCGAAAAGCTATGCCATCAGTTCGCAATCTACGGCGGGAGACCTTGTACTGAGAAGAACCGGCAAGAAACTCATCAAGGGCTTTATTTGTCTCCCCGTATTATATTGAAAAATGACTTCAATATGAGATAACCCATGAAGTCACTTTCCATTACAAATGTATCTGGTTGCATATTAAGCAGCCACGAAATCGAAAGTGAGATTGCATAGTTACAGAATCGACATGCTATGAATGCATGGGTTATCTGTTGTGTAGAGAATACCTTCCAAATGAACTTGGACAAAAAACTTGATGTTTTTTGATGTGTAATATCTTTCCTCTCGCTTTCCTGCAATTTGTGAAAGTGATTACGTAAGTGGGACGGAAGTGTGTAACAGGAAATTGGAGAAGCGCTCGCTATTTGATTTGATTTTAGAACATAATGTTCAAATGGCTTATTCTTTTTGTAGTAGGTTTTATTTCTCTTTTTACTAATATAAGGTGAGGTTTCAAATGTTACACATCATACGCGTATACTGCACGGCTAGCTCGTTTTTTTTGTTGTGACCTTTACTGTCACAACAAGTATGATTCATTGAGAGTCCGCTATTTACCGTATCCCGTTATCTTATTTTTAAACACACCAATTAGCCTAGCCTCAAAGTAAGCACTGAAAGGCTCGTGTTATGGGCTACTAAGGTAACGGATAGAATTCATATATAAGTAAATTTAACATACAACATAATATAAACATCCACGACTTTGGTACAAATGCTCGTAGGTATTCATCAAACTATCATTTGATAAAACTAGTTTTTACGGGTTAAAAGACTACGAAACGTCAATAAATAAATAAAGTTTTCGTGCATTAACCCGTAAAAACTAGTTTTATTTAATGAGTGATGTGTGTGACCGGTATTTGCCCCACCGGTATTCGAATACGCTTTTTGGCCTATATTGTTACTTAAATGCTATGTTCAAAGGACCACACGAGTAGGCGACACATTGAAACCGGCGTACATACCAACCGGACACGGAAGTGAGATTTAATTTAAAAAATCGTCGTATTGTTCTGGGCGGCTTGATTGAAACACAGCCTGGGTTGTGTTCTTAGATTAAAACAAAAAGGGTAGATACGGTACGCTTATACTTGCATCAAACAAAAACTGATCCCACGGCAGCGCGAACGGGACGGCGAGATCCGCGTCACTGCATTACCGACCCGAGCGAAACAGCACGTTAAGTTTCAACGGCAGCGCGAACGAGACGGCGAGATCCGCGTCACTGCACTACCGACCAATCACGCGATCAGTACTCGACGTCACTACCGAATAAGATTCAAAACAAACAGCAATTTCTATGAAAAAATATATTTTATAGTACCTACTTACGAATGAAAAGTAAAGCCGCGGGTTTTATTTTTAGTTCTTGAGCAATTTGAGCACTTTTCAAAAACACACTTAGGCATTGTTTTATCATATAAACACAAAATATTAGCAATATTTCTTTTTGGCGTTCACATGTACGTCGTTTGCATGTCAAGTTGTGACTAATGCGATTAGGGTCGCGGACCACAATTCATGCGGATCACTTTTGTGAGGCTAGTGTCGTATCTACCCTTTTTGTTTTAATCTAAGGTTGTGTAAGATCGGTTCACAGCAGTCGGTAGGCCCACATGGAGAGCGGCGTGTGCAGCCGCGCGGGGTGCGTCGGGTCGGGTCGGAGCTCACAGCAGTCGGTAGGCCCACATGGAGAGCGGCGTGTGCAGCCGCGCGGGGTGCGTCGGGTCGGGTCGGAGCTCACAGCAGTCGGTAGGCCCACATGGAGAGCGGCGTGTGCAGCCGCGCGGGGTGCGTCGGGTCGGGTCGGAGCTCACAGCAGTCGGTAGGCCCACATGGAGAGCGGCGTGTGCAGCCGCGCGGGGTGCGTCGGGTCGGGTCGGAGCTCACAGCAGTCGGTAGGCCCACATGGAGAGCGGCGTGTGCAGCCGCGCGGGGTGCGTCGGGTCGGGTCGGAGCTCACAGCAGTCGGTAGGCCCACATGGAGAGCGGCGTGTGCAGCCGCGCGGGGTGCGTCGGGTCGGGTCGGAGCTCACAGCAGTCGGTAGGCCCACATGGAGAGCGGCGTGTGCAGCCGCGCGGGGTGCGTCGGGTCGGGTCGGAGCTCACAGCAGTCGGTAGGCCCACATGGAGAGCGGCGTGTGCAGCCGCGCGGGGTGCGTCGGGTCGGGTCGGAGCTCACAGCAGTCGGTAGGCCCACATGGAGAGCGGCGTGTGCAGCCGCGCGGGGTGCGTCGGGTCGGGTCGGAGCTCACAGCAGTCGGTAGGCCCACATGGAGAGCGGCGTGTGCAGCCGCGCGGGGTGCGTCGGGTCGGGTCGGAGCTCACAGCAGTCGGTAGGCCCACATGGAGAGCGGCGTGTGCAGCCGCGCGGGGTGCGTCGGGTCGGGTCGGAGCTCACAGCAGTCGGTAGGCCCACATGGAGAGCGGCGTGTGCAGCCGCGCGGGGTGCGTCGGGTCGGGTCGGAGCTCACAGCAGTCGGTAGGCCCACATGGAGAGCGGCGTGTGCAGCCGCGCGGGGTGCGTCGGGTCGGGTCGGAGCTCACAGCAGTCGGTAGGCCCACATGGAGAGCGGCGTGTGCAGCCGCGCGGGGTGCGTCGGGTCGGGTCGGAGCTCACAGCAGTCGGTAGGCCCACATGGAGAGCGGCGTGTGCAGCCGCGCGGGGTGCGTCGGGTCGGGTCGGAGCTCACAGCAGTCGGTAGGCCCACATGGAGAGCGGCGTGTGCAGCCGCGCGGGGTGCGCCGGCTCGCGCCCTCCCACCAGCAGCACGTGAAGGCGCGGCGACGGAGCGGCTTCATTACATGGCTTCTTCAACTCCTTCATCTCTATCTGTATACAATGACTTTACGTGACTATGCATGTTCGACATAGGGCAGGGGAGTGGCAGCTACCCCCCCTCACCCCCCCGGAAATCTCGCAAAAAAAACATGTCCTACTTACTAATGAAAGTGTAAATGGGGCCTCATGCTCTAACTTTTAAATAAACCGGGCAGTAGACACTGGCAAAATGCACGGTTGCCAAAAAAACGCGCGCGACAATGGCGGAAGAAGATTACTGTTCCCTTGGCACGAACCATTATCGTGTTCGAATAGTTTGCGAATCCGAAATGTCATTGTCAAATTTTGTATGGAAACTGGAACAACAGCACTAAAACGGACGTAACGAGAACTAAAAATCAGTACATATTTGACAATGACATTTCGTATCCGCAAACGTTACGAATTCGATATTGGTTCGTGCTAGGGGAGCTGAATCTAGCTATATTCGGTAATCTTCGGTAGGGAGTTGCGAGCTGAGATTTCGAACGATTATTTTATTTGACATGTTATTGTTTTGAAGATATGATATTTTATAGTTATAGATACGTCATACACGCTTCTAATTTGGTAATACGAAAGTCAGGTAATTGCCCGACTTGCATTCAGTGGGGCACGCTTTCGCGCCGCGGCTACACTTCGCTACGACGTGCAGGTATATATTTTACGTTTTTCTAGACAAAAAGCCCTATGTGTGTTTTTTGATAGTATAAAAATTACGCAGGAACTATTAGAAACAAGAAAAATGTATACACACATCAAAAAAAGTTTGCAATCACTTTGTAAAATAGATTCTTTTTTGTGTTACAGAAGACTTTTTTGTAGTTTCTTTTTCTGATAAGATTCTAAATTTTTAAAATTAGAATTAGAACGTATAACAATAAAATACACTTCTGGACACATTTATTGGCCCACCTTGTATTTTCAGTTTCGTTTGGTCCTAGCTAAAATTTTATATTAGGTCGAGCAAAAAGTTTTTATGCAGTTTTGAACCTGGCACATTCACAATTTCATTCAATAGTCTTTTTTTGAATTTCGAACACAGAATTTAAAGAAACAAAAGACAATTTGGAGCCTGTTTGTTAATATCAAACAATCGAATACTAAGAAAACTTGGTTTAATTGGTTTACTTGGATTTAATTCTTGAAAAAGTGATTGATATCTTTTTGTTTCCAACAAACATTACTTATTCTTAACATTAAGGTGAGATTCTATCAATAATCTATGGATACTACACCTGAAGTCGCCGCCCAAGCTGTGGCACTTATTCAGACCGGACACAGCCAAAGAAACGTGAGTGCTCAACTTAATTTAAGTCAATCTGCGGTCCGAAATGTTTATCGGAGGTACCTAGAGACTGGCGGCTTTATTCGTCGCCAAGGAAGGCCACGATTTCGGGTCACAACTGAAAGGCTGGATCGATTCATCGTGACGACCAGCTTGAGAAATCGTCACCTTACCTCCATTGAGATATAAAAACAAATTCACGACTTCCACGGAGTATCTGTGAGCGCTCGAACTGTTCGGAGAAGGTTAAAAGAACGCGATATGGTACCACACAAGCCAGCTGTGGGCCCAAACTAACGCGAGCCCACCGAACAGCGCGCCTTCATTTCGCACGCAGTCATTTAAATTGGACACAGCAAGATTGGAGCCGTGTACTCTTTTCTGATGAGTCTAAAATTGTGTTACATGGCGATGACGGAAGGAAGAAGGTCTACCGACGTAAGGGAGAGCGTTTCGCACAATGCTGCTTTGAAGAGAGGGTTGCTTATGGCGGTGGCTCATGGCCTGTCTGGGGCGGTATATCCGCGAGCGGCAAAACTCAACTTGAAGTTGTTACAGGACCACGGCTGCCAACATTAAATGCTGAAAGGTACATGCGTGAGTGCTTAGAACCTCACGTGATACCATACGCGGACTATGTGGGCCCAAATTTCCTTTTTATGCATGATAATGCAAGAGCCCATGCGGCCAGCATCGTCAGGGAATATCTTCGGGATGTGAACATCACAGTTATGGACTGGCCAGCCAGACTATAAAAGTAGAAATACGGTCGCATCCGGACTTGAAGTTAGCACTCAGACCATTCGGAATTGCTTACACAAAGCTAGATTACGCGCACGCAGGTCTTGGCGAGCACCTTTGAATTCACGGGAACGTCAGCGACGGAGATTACAGTAGCCCACTGTACACAGTGGGCTAGGCTCCGGGAAAACGAAGAAGACGTAGAGGAAAACATGTGAAAAAACCGCCTCTTCGTTGACGAATCGCGAATCAGTACTCATCCATATAACCGACGTGTCCGTGTTTGGAGAAGAACTCTTTGCCTTTCAAAGTCTCCAGACTTTGAAAGGCAAAGAACGGCCACTGGAACGGTTCAGCAAGGCGGGAAATCAGTGTCCTCTTGGGGTGGTATTGTGATTGTGGCTAGAACGCTATTGATGAATCGATCGGTTGACGATAATGCGCCCGCACATCGAGCTCAACGAATCAGTGCTGCTCTCCGAGAATACGAAATCACAAGGTTAGACTGGCCTGCCGGCTCTCCTGACTTACACCCAATAGAGCACGCGTAGGATGCTCTTAAGCGAGCTGTTTGGAACCGGCAGCCACCGTAGTTTTTGGCGTTTGGCTAAGGCCGTGCAGCACAACTTCTGCTAGCCCTCGCTGCCACCTCTGCGATGTCCAGATGGATCACTAGCTCAAGAGCTGCAAGAGAAAGCCGATTTGTTGGCAAAGCTCTTTGCGACTAACTCCCGAATCAGTGATTGCAATGCACTGCCATCTACACTACCTCATTGTGGAACTACGATGCCTGACATTAAAGCATGATGTTCGTGCTGAGTTGCAATCACTCGACGTCTGGAAAGCTAGTGGATCCGATGGCATCCCAGCAGTTGTACTAAAACATTGTGCAGCGGAGTTGTCTTCCGTGCTTACGCGCTTGTACCAATTCTCTTACTCTTTGGAGCGTGTGCCGGAGGCTTGGAGAGATGCCAATGTGCAACCGGTGCCCAAAAAAGAGGACTGCTCAGACCCGGCCAACTATCGGCCGATAGCTGTCACCTCAGTGTTGTGTAAAGTATTAGAAAGGGTCCTTAACAACCATCTGACCCGCTACCTAGAAGATTACTCTCTGATTCACGATCGTCGAATCGCGAATCGATCGACGGGTGACCTTCTAGCGTACGTGACACACGTCTGAGGTGAAGCTATAGACAAGCGGGGAGTCTCTGGCTATTAGCCATGACATCACCAAGGCTTTTGACAGGGTCTGGCACAAAAGCCTTCTCTCTAAGCTTCCTGTATACGGGCTGCCTGCTCAGCTCTGCGCCTGGGTAGCTGACTTCCTGCATGAGCTTAAAATTCGCGTCCTTACGGGCGTATGTAGTTTGCAGTTCATGTCAGTGAATGCCGGTGTTCCTCAGGGCTCCGTTCTATCCCCCATACTCTTTCTGCTGCATATGAATGATTTATTCCACTTACGAATATTCATTGCTATGCAGACGATAGTACAGTGCATGCGAGATACTTTGGACACGCAGCGGCTGGACAGGTAGAAACCAGGGAGAAAGGGTAGAATCTTGTCGTTTAACTGTATCAGGCTTTGGACCACCTTTCCGAATGGGGTACCAGGAACTTGGTTGAGTTCAATGCCAAGAAAACTCAGACTTGCGCTTTCACGGCAAAAACATCGCCATTCCTTCCCCTTCCCTCTCTTCAGGGCACAACACTGGCGCTACAGAGCAACATTACCATGCTCGGTATGGAAGTTCGCTCAGACCTGAATCCAAAGGACTACATCGAAACCATGATCAAAACAACTCCTCCCTATAATCTGGAATCCTTTAAGAGAGGCGTGAAGAAGCATTTTTGCAGGCCGGCAAGGTGAGGATGTTTGGTGTGGCAGTTAATAACTGCTGTACCAGCTATCTTCGCGTTTGGACTTTATCACCACTTAATATCAGCCCCTCTAGCATGACCACCGAAACGGGATATGATTAAGCTATGTATCGGCATTAACTGTCAGACTACTGTCAAACTCCACTGTAGTCTGACAGTTAATGCAGATATATCGCTTTATCATATCCCGTTTCGGTGGTCATGCTACAGGGGCAAGTGGGGTAGAGCCATTTGCCTAACTCGATATAAAAAAAATGCTGGATAACTTGATCCTCAGCATGCCCAGGAGGATCTCCGCATGTGTTCGAGCCAGAGGAGGAGTTATTTTGTATTAGATAAACAACAATTTATGAATAGAAGGTTATTAAATTTGGTTAAACTATCTTTTTATTTCTATCAAAATTCTATTACAATCGCCTTAGGATTGAATTATTAAAAATTTTATACCAAAAAACTAAAATTAGTTTTTTTTTTAATTTCAAAAAGTGTATTTTTAATAAAAACAAGATATAACGTAAACATTTTCTCTTGATTAAGTTAAATTTTGAAAATATATAAGTTAATATATAAGCTTTTGCAAGTGATCTCAAACTTTTTTTGATGTTTGTATGTATAATTTTATTCGTAAGTTTTAAAGAAATTAATGTAAAAATATTTAGTGTATACTTATTTTGACAGTTACACAGACACAGTTGACACGAGATAAAGAGTGAGATGTAATCTGCTTCATGAATGAGTGTGGAAGAGACTACTTTAGTGAAAGGGCCCTAGGGCGGGGACGACTTGTGCCATTTTAAAATGCAATAATGTTGGCGTGTAACCTGTTTATATATTATACGTCATTGTTTTGAAGGAGCAAAATCAAACGTCGGTGATTAAAAAATATTCATTCAGTGTCTTTATGAAAGTATAGAAATCTGTCTGATTGATATTGTGTTGTGATTGTTGTGACACGCACATACTTAATGTTTCGTGTAGGTGTGTTTGTGTAGTGTGTATGACAAAACAGCCGCAGACGATAAAAAATCTGATTTGCCCCCCTAGTATAGCAGTATAATACGTACGATGTCGTACGCAAGACCAAAGTCTGAAGTAAGCGCAGTGAAAGCGAAAGCGCGTAAATCAGTCCCCACTGTAATGGAGATGCTAGAACCCAGTGCATTCTGTATGTATGTGTATGGCAGTGTTTGGTAATATACTTACCATATCATGTGCTAGGCCGGAGTCAGGCGTGAGTGCCGCAAGGGCGCGCACATCGGGCCCGCCGTAGTGTGGGTTGCTGAACCCCAGCGAGGCGCCGGACAGGCGGTTCACTCGCTCGGCACTCGCGTAGTCGGAGGTGGACAGCTCGCCCTCCGTCTCCGGCTCGGTTTCCGACCGCGCTGTTGTACTGTATCTGGAGCACAGATGCACTGTTAATACGCCGGGTATCGTCGAACCAATATCATGTTGATTTTATAAGCTGTCTGATATATCGATTGAAGATAAGACAGAGAGAGGGAAAGAGAGAGAGGGAGAGAGAGAGAGAGAGAGAGAGAGAGAGAGAGAGAGAGAGAGAGAGAGAGAGAGAGAGAGAGAGAGAGAGAGAGAGAGAGAGAGAGAGAGAGAGAGAGAGAGATTTTATTGACCACATTACATCAGAAAACAACATACGAAAAAAATATAGTTAATGAAAAGAGTAAAGAAAATAACAGATTAATTATAGTAGGTATCATTTGTGCCATCAATACGCCACAAAACGTGTCACAGCAGCGCTAGTATTCTGGCAGGGTCGGTACTTCACATGGCCAATCATATACGCCATCCGCATACCCAACAGCAGTCCCCCCTCTCACTCCCCGAAGTAGAGCGTGATATGGATACACTGCTAGCAGTCCAGCAAATAGCAAACTCGACTGGTCATTAGAACGTCAGTTCGTCAGATATTTATCTACCTCTTTTTATACCTATATAACTTCCGTGTCATGTCTTACTTGGGATAGCCAGAAAAAACAGAATGTCATAAGGTTACGGTCCACATAAATCTTACGCTTGTGCGCTCGTAGGAAAATTTTCCTCTTTAGCCTTTCATACATTTATTACCCCTTTCATATTCTCTCTTCCCCAGTTTTTGTGGCTTCTGACGTCAACTACGTACTATCAAGATGTCATCATTTTGATCGTGTCGTGATGGCCTATGACATCGTATATCCGTTATGCTATTCTTTCATTTGTATTTTTTTCCACATATTCGAGCCAACGGATTAAACCTAAATGAGTCGGGAACAGCTAGCGGCAAACTTCTTCAGTAAAACGACAGACAAATAAACTTGTGCAGTAGACATTTTTGTATGTAAAATCTATAGTCGATGCTCAGAAGAACTTCCTGTGCTAATCCACTGACAAATGAACTGGTGCTGGGGATATTTTTGTGAGTACAGTTGTTAGAGTGCCTAAGTATATACCTAACGGTGGAGTCGGGCAGCGCGAGGATGGTGGCGTGGTCGCGGTGCTGGTCGTGCAGCCACACGAGGCGCGCCGCCTCGCCGGGCGTCAGTGGTATATACCTAACGGTGGAGTCGGGCAGCGCGAGGATGGTGGCGTGGTCGCGGTGCTGGTCGTGCAGCCACACGAGGCGCGCCGCCTCGCCGGGCGTCAGTGGTATATACCTAACGGTGGAGTCGGGCAGCGCGAGGATGGTGGCGTGGTCGCGGTGCTGGTCGTGCAGCCACACGAGGCGCGCCGCCTCGCCGGGCGTCAGTGGTATATACCTAACGGTGGAGTCGGGCAGCGCGAGGATGGTGGCGTGGTCGCGGTGCTGGTCGTGCAGCCACACGAGGCGCGCCGCCTCGCCGGGCGTCAGTGGTATATACCTAACGGTGGAGTCGGGCAGCGCGAGGATGGTGGCGTGGTCGCGGTGCTGGTCGTGCAGCCACACGAGGCGCGCCGCCTCGCCGGGCGTCAGTGGTATATACCTAACGGTGGAGTCGGGCAGCGCGAGGATGGTGGCGTGGTCGCGGTGCTGGTCGTGCAGCCACACGAGGCGCGCCGCCTCGCCGGGCGTCAGTGGTATATACCTAACGGTGGAGTCGGGCAGCGCGAGGATGGTGGCGTGGTCGCGGTGCTGGTCGTGCAGCCACACGAGGCGCGCCGCCTCGCCGGGCGTCAGTGGTATATACCTAACGGTGGAGTCGGGCAGCGCGAGGATGGTGGCGTGGTCGCGGTGCTGGTCGTGCAGCCACACGAGGCGCGCCGCCTCGCCGGGCGTCAGTGGTATATACCTAACGGTGGAGTCGGGCAGCGCGAGGATGGTGGCGTGGTCGCGGTGCTGGTCGTGCAGCCACACGAGGCGCGCCGCCTCGCCGGGCGTCAGTGGTATATACCTAACGGTGGAGTCGGGCAGCGCGAGGATGGTGGCGTGGTCGCGGTGCTGGTCGTGCAGCCACACGAGGCGCGCCGCCTCGCCGGGCGTCAGTGGTATATACCTAACGGTGGAGTCGGGCAGCGCGAGGATGGTGGCGTGGTCGCGGTGCTGGTCGTGCAGCCACACGAGGCGCGCCGCCTCGCCGGGCGTCAGTGGTATATACCTAACGGTGGAGTCGGGCAGCGCGAGGATGGTGGCGTGGTCGCGGTGCTGGTCGTGCAGCCACACGAGGCGCGCCGCCTCGCCGGGCGTCAGTGGTATATACCTAACGGTGGAGTCGGGCAGCGCGAGGATGGTGGCGTGGTCGCGGTGCTGGTCGTGCAGCCACACGAGGCGCGCAGCCTCGCCGGGCGTCAGTGCGGGCGTCGGCAGCGTCGCCTGCTGCAGTTGGAAGTCCGGCACTGATACCCCATCCCGGGGCAACTCCATCTGTTAGTTGCATTATAATAGCGTAATGTCAGCGCTGAGGTTGAGCAAATTGCAGTGTGTTATATAAATACCATTTGGTTTGCAGCTATACTACGCCTCTGTCAAAATATATCAATTTTATTGTGTCGATTCTCGTAGTATATAGTTCACATTTCTTTGCATTAAACACTATCCTAAGCATAAAGCAACACGCGCGCGCCTAGGAGGGGAGCAGGCATTCACAGCATTCCCCTTTTTAGATTTTCCCCCGCTCGGGGAACGGGCCAGCTCACGTAAAAAAACAAGTTACACACGGATTTTCACTAGACTAACCCAAGTCGCGACCGTGTAAGTCAGACCACAAAAAATGACAAATTGTTCAGTAATTTGCTGTAAAAACAGACTTGCAACATCAAACTTAAAAAAGGATGATCTAACATTTTATATTTAAATACAATTATTGACATATAATTTCTATGTAATCACTTTTGAAACAGAAAATAAATATTATTTTATAGAAATTCAATCTTCAGACGTGTTTGACAAACAATCCACTCGTCAGTACCTACAAAATTCAGAACTGTCAATAAAAAAATGGGTGCGTGTACTTATGTAGGCGCGTGAGAAGTTATCCTTCTTTGGCATCGTTTAAAATTAGTTTTTAATTGCATGCAAATAATTAATTACAATAAATTAATAAAAAGTCTGGAAAAGGACACAGTCAATAAAGTTCAGTTTTAATTTGAAAAAAAAAAAATAATCAAAATATTCAATTAAAATCGCTACTGAATATAATTTATTACAACATATGTGATTTGCACTTGTATGAAACTCAAACACGTATTCCGAATATACAAACTAGAAACATGTGGATAAATATTATAAATATGAATACCTATAACTGTTACTATATTACAAAAAATAAAGATGTGGTTTTTGGTTCTACTACACCAATGGTCAAGAGATGGCGCTGTAGTCTCCTGAATCGCGTTTTGGTTCCGTTGTTTCAGATTAATAAATACTTTTGATAGGCCTTCACAATGCAGTCGTTAGCACCCACTAAATAGAGATTCTATTTCTATTTTGTTGGTAGATTTTCTTAATGTGCGGTAAACACAAAAGTAACAGCATGAAGTTGGTCGCTAAAGCGACCAACTTCATGCTGTTAAAATTTTGTGTTACAGTGATGCGCGCGCATCTTAAAATTTCACTCTCATCATTTTTTCATAACGCGCCTAAAGAAGTATAACTTCAAAAATTATAAGTTTCATCTATGCACGATTTAATGTTGCATTCTTATGTGCGAGTATAATAATTAAAGTATGTTACATTGTATTTGTGTGCATATTCCTCCCCCCCGCAAAATGTGGCAGAATGATACAGTAGTATTTTGTCACTACGGCTACTTCTCGCTGCGTCGGTCGTGTTACTTTACGATCCTAAGTCCATTTTTCTTACTCTCAGTGTGGAGCAAACGATTATCTTCAATTCTTGTACATTAAAAGTTTGAGATCGCTGTATATTCAAACTGCCGATAACATCTTTGATTGGTAGATTGACACAACCCAGAAAAATGAAGCTTTCTGCCCTCGCTAATCGTGGCAATACATAGTACAAAGTTCTTTAAGGTTGATGGAGAAACTTTAAGTTGTCAAATTCGGATTAAAAAGTGTGCAATTTTATTATTACATACGATATTTGTCAGGTGGTTTATTTAAATAAATATGAGATAAGTTCGAACAAGAGAACAGGGTAGATATGAGGAATACCAAATATTCCTTAGCTGTTGCGTGGTATCCGAGATACAAATGGTGTAGGCGTACGAAAGATTCCAGCCGGGTCACCGCATAGTTAAAGTGTTAGTAGGTAATGGAGTAATAAATTTATGGAAATATTTACAATCCTGCTGATTATATAGATTAACCACTGTATTTCAGTTCTGAGCATAAATTTAAATCTATAATACTATTTGATAAATTAAATGTGCACAGTTTAATTAATGGTATTTTTTATTAGGTTTTAACAACAGACAGATATATTTCGCATGTCTGGGAGACATCGCGGGATGCAGTAGGTGTTTTGTGATCCCTCCAAAGCTTCCGATTGCGTAGATTACTGTATTTTGTAAATATTTTCATTATGGTGTTCGATGTTGATCTATTTTTTTCTTACTTTTTTAGCAGAAGAAAGAGGGTAGGACTAAATAGAGTTTTAACTAAAGGCTGATATTTAAATCTAAAGAAAATATAACTAGAAAAAATTCCACGCGCACCAGGCAGCAGACGGGACTCGAACCCGCACCCTTCGCAATCCGGGCGAATGCACTGACCAATTATGCTACCGCGGCCCTCACGGACCGCGTCGAAATTCCTTCTAGCTATTCTTAAGCTGCAAGGCAGCGCCATCTCTTCGCATTATAGGTAAACCCACAATGTCAAATGAATACTTTTACAAGTATTAAACATTTGAAAGAAGAAATAGCAATTATAGTTATAATTTTTATTATTTTTAAAGCATGTAACTGCTTGATGTTTAAATCTAAAGAAAATATAACTAGAAAAAATTCCACGCGGACCAGGCAGCAGACGGGACTCGAACCCGCACCCTTCGCAATCCGGGCGAATGCACTGACCAATTATGCTACCGCGGCCCTCACGGACCGCGTCGAAATTCCTTCTAGCTATTCTTAAGCTTAAATAATGCGAAGAGATGGCGCTGCCTTGCAGCTTAAGAATAGCTACATGCTTTAAAAATAATAAAAATTATAACTAAAGGCTGATACTTAAAGACGGGTGTGCCGCAGGGTTCCATTTTTAGTCCTTTGATATTTCTTATATATTTAAATGAATCTTCCATTTATGGGAAAGGATATTACCGAAACGACATTACTTATTCAAGACTACATAAAAATACATAGTTATTTATATTTATGTTAAATATTGTTTTTAGCATGCCGTAGTGTGTTTGTAACTCATTTAATATTACATGCATAATGCAAGGCTAAACTAGCAAAGTCATTTAGAATAAAAACAAAATATTTTCAACACACACACACCAATCAGCCTAGCCCCAAAGCGAGCACTATAAGGCTCGTGTTGTGGGATACTAAGGTAACGGATAGAATACATATACCTACCGAAATACATATTAAACATCCACGACTGGAGTACAAATGCATGCATTCATCACACAAACATCTGCCCCCACCGGGATTCGAACCCGGGACCTCTCGAGTCGGCGACACCATGAAACCAGGCGTACAAACCGCTCGGTCACGGAGGTCGTCTAAATTTAGAGCAAGCGGCAAGTGACCTGTCCCATGTCGATGGCGTAGGCGGAGCGCGACTTGGCGATGGCGGCGTCGTGTCGCGCGGGCAGCAGGCTCTCCGTGGAGTCGCGCGCGCCCGACAGCGCCGAGTAGTGTCCGCGCGCGCCGCACACCCCGCGCACGCCGCACACCCCGCGCCGGTGCAGACCCGACAGCCGGGAGATCTCACGCACCAGGCCCACCCCCGCCCCGCCGCCGCACCCGCCGCCTGCAACGATCGCATGCGATAACATGGGGATAGGGATTTTGCTGCGCGACCGAACTGAAAAAAATGTGATAGTAAAACCGTAAAAAAAAACCGTGGAAAAAAGTGCGTGGAATAAAACCGTTAAATGAGACGTGCGCAGGCGCGACAGTCGCATACACAAGCGAGTTTGCAATTTGTGTCGATTCTACATTAGCCGAAGGAACTTCGTTCCTACCTGGTGTCCCACAACACCACATCATTTTTTTTTATTGACACAGATTCACCAACAACACATAATTTTACATTACAATTTAAAAAAAAATATATAAATATCATACTTAAAGATATGCTTTTTAATAGGTGAATACAACATTCACATAAATACAAAAAAAAATGTGTGCGTGTACTAGTGTACACACGTAAGAAGTGAAACTTCTTTATGGCCTTATTTTTTTCGTAAAATGATCTACATGCAACTTTCCAGAAATATATATATAGGCGTGCGCTAAGATTTTTCAAAAACTCACCCACTAAAGGGGTATAACTACACCTTACCTTACCTTACCTTACCTTACCTGACCTTACCTTACCTTACCTTGAGATTACGTGAATATTGCTAGTAAAAAGGAAACACTAACAGCATTTCTTAAACATCTAAATTATATTATAATTGACCTTAAAAAATTCAACAATACGTAATCAATTTTATACATGTTTAATTTTACATATTATTATAATTATTATTTTACAATTTATTTTTAATTTACAATCTACATATTTACATAATTATACAATTAAATATAAAATAAGTGTTTTAAAGAATATACAACTGTAAACAAACAAATATAATATACACAAAAGGTTAGGTTAGAAGAACATGACTCTAATCTGGCTTTTCTTTAAATCTGCGTTCACCTAAATTTCCATACATATTAATATGTTTATATATATATCTCATATATTCCAATTCACTCAGAATAACACCTACCACTTCAACAATTTGAAATATTTAAACCATATCATTATAATATTTGCATTTATTAATTTCAGTGTAGTAATTAGCACTGAAATTAGTAATAGTATCTATTAGCTATCTTTCTAAAATAAAAATACCTTACCTTACCTTACCTTACCTTGTGTGAAACACGAATATTTGCTGTCGATACTTTTTTTTTTAAAGTTGACAGAAGAAGCAATTGTTCAGATGAGGTAAATAGTGCTCTTTTAAAAAAAAGATGGCGCGTAACCAAAAACGTGACGCGTAACCGAAAAAAATGTGACGGTAAATTTTTTTCCAACGCCGATAAAGAAGTTTCACTTCAATAAACTACAATGACAGATTAAACAAACAAAAAATATATCCACCATCATGAAAAACAGGTATACTGAATTATAATATTGTTTTAGTCTGTGTTACGGTCTAATTATATTTTTTCCACAGAAAACCTCATAAATACGCGCTCAGTATTGTGGAAAACGTCGACACTGCAGTCTTGTAAATCATTGTAGGTACGCTTACACCGGTATAGAGGAGCATAATCATCATCATCATAATCATTAGTCTGATGGCAGGAGCGACTCAGAGTGAATGATGCTAACGACTATAGATGCAGCTGATGCGATTAATGGGTTAAAGGTACTTTCCGAATCATGGAGGAGTTCAAGATAATAAACTTTCCGTTACCCATCCTAAATTGACGCATTGACGGTCGGTTTTTCGCGTCAGCCTAGACGAAAAACTGTGACACCATTACTTCAAATGATTCAAGCCAACTGGATTTCCCCACCCACTGGCGTCACTTCGACACTTCAGTTTTCGATCGGCCGGCCGAAAGCTGCGACTGCTACATATAAATGTAAGGTAGCAGTGGCCAGCGGTACACGTGTGTGTATGTCACGTAACCGAAAGCTGCGCATAGTTGTATGGGGCGGCTTGTATGCGCTCCTGACTTCACAATCGCCATAAGGTTGAGTTGTTGCATGCATTAAATTCCTGGAGCCCGATGGGATAACTGGTTAACGCGTTCGATTCGCTTTAGATGAAGTAAATTGAATTTTTACAATGGCGTGTTAAGCTTTGCATTAAATTGCAAATAGGAAATACGCCTCCTACTGAGCCGGCCGATCGAAAACTGAAGAGTCGAAGTGACGCCAGTGGTTGGGGACATCCAGTTGGCTTGAACCATTTGGAGTGGCGTCACAGTTTTACGTCTAGGCTGACGCGAAAAATCGACCGTCAATGCGTCAACTTAGGATGGGTAACGGAAAGTTTATTATCTTGAACTCCTCCATGCTTTGGAAAGTACCTTTAACCTGTGGCGGCGACATCTATACGCCCCACAGATATACAATGGATGTAGGAAATCATTACTCACCATCCTCAAGAAATGGCGTTGCCTACACTGCGATTAATATTAGTATGGAAGTCTACATCGCGCAAATGAAATTCGGAGGCTAACTCTTCATATATAAGAAGCCCGACCAACATCACCAGGGCCGCGGCCCCCGAGCTAACATCACCCAGCTCGGAGCAAGATCTTCCCCTTTGGCCTTCCTACAAACCCATTAATCCCATCAGCTGCATTTTTAGCCGTTAGATCAGATCAGATCACTCTGTGTCGCTCCTGCCATCGACCGCGTCCCCCCCCGCGGCCAGTTAGTGAGCTATATAGCTATATTCACCCGTAGTGTCGCTCCTGCCATCGACCGCGTCGGCCCTCGCGGCCAGCTAGTGAGCTATATGGCTATATTCACCCGTGGTGTCGCTCCTGCCATCAGCCCCGTCGGCCCCCGCGGCCAGCTAGTGAGCTATATGGCTATATTCACCCGTGGTGTCGCTCCTGCCATCAGCCCCGTCGGCCCCCGCGGCCAGCTAGTGAGCTATATGGCTATATTCACCCGTGGTGTCGCTCCTGCCATCAGCCCCGTCGGCCCCCGCGGCCAGCTAGTGAGCTATATGGCTATATTCACCCGTGGTGTCGCTCCTGCCATCAGCCCCGTCGGCCCCCGCGGCCAGCTAGTGAGCTATATGGCTATATTCACCCGTGGTGTCGCTCCTGCCATCAGCCCCGTCGGCCCCCGCGGCCAGCTAGTGAGCTATATGGCTATATTCACCCGTGGTGTCGCTCCTGCCATCAGCCCCGTCGGCCCCCGCGGCCAGCTAGTGAGCTATATGGCTATATTCACCCGTGGTGTCGCTCCTGCCATCAGCCCCGTCGGCCCCCGCGACCAGCTAGTGAGCTATATGGCTATATTCACCCGTGGTGTCGCTCCTGGCATCAGCCCCGTCGGCCCCCGCGACCAGCTAGTGAGCTATATGGCTATATTCACCCGTGGTGTCGCTCCTGCCATCAGCCCCGTCGGCCCCCGCGGCCAGCTAGTGAGCTATATGGCTATATTCACCCGTGGTGTCGCTCCTGCCATCAGCCCCGTCGGCCCCCGCGGCCAGCTAGTGAGCTATATGGCTATATTCACCCGTGGTGTCGCTCCTGCCATCAGCCCCGTCGGCCCCCGCGGCCAGCTAGTGAGCTATATGGCTATATTCACCCGTGGTGTCGCTCCTGCCATCAGCCCCGTCGGCCCCCGCGGCCAGCTAGTGAGCTATATGGCTATATTCACCCGTGGTGTCGCTCCTGCCATCAGCCCCGTCGGCCCCCGCGGCCAGCTAGTGAGCTATATGGCTATTCACCCGTGGTGTCGCTCCTGCCATCAGCCCCGTCGGCCCCCGCGGCCAGCTAGTGAGCTATATGGCTATATTCACCCGTGGTGTCGCTCCTGCCATCAGCCCCGTCGGCCCCCGCGGCCAGCTAGTGAGCTATATGGCTATATTCACCCGTGGTGTCGCTCCTGCCATCAGCCCCGTCGGCCCCCGCGGCCAGCTAGTGAGCTATATGGCTATATTCACCCGTGGTGTCGCTCCTGCCATCAGCCCCGTCGGCCCCCGCGGCCAGCTAGTGAGCTATATGGCTATATTCACCCGTGGTGTCGCTCCTGCCATCAGCCCCGTCGGCCCCCGCGGCCAGCTAGTGAGCTATATGGCTATATTCACCCGTGGTGTCGCTCCTGCCATCAGCCCCGTCGGCCCCCGCGGCCAGCTAGTGAGCTATATGGCTATATTCACCCGTGGTGTCGCTCCTGCCATCAGCCCCGTCGGCCCCCGCGGCCATCTAGTGAGCTATATGGCTATATTCACCCGTGGTGTCGCTCCTGCCATCAGCCCCGTCGGCCCCCGCGGCCAGCTAGTGAGCTATATGGCTATATTCACCCGTGGTGTCGCTCCTGCCATCGGCCCCGTCGGCCCCCGCGGCCAGCTAGTGAGCTATATGGCTATATTCACCCGTGGTGTCGCTCCTGCCATCGGCCCCGTCGGCCCCCGCGGCCATCTAGTGAGCTATATGGCTATATTCACCCGTGGTGTCGCTCCTGCCATCGGCCCCGTCGGCCCCCGCGGCCAGCTAGTGAGCTATATGGCTATATTCACCCGTGGTGTCGCTCCTGCCATCGGCCCCGTCGGCCCCCGCGGCCAGCTAGTGAGCTATATGGCTATATTCACCCGTGGTGTCGCTCCTGCCATCAGCCCCGTCGGCCCCCGCGGCCAGCTAGTGAGCTATATGGCTATATTCACCCGTGGTGTCGCTCCTGCCATCAGCCCCGTCGGCCCCCGCGGCCATCTAGTGAGCTATATGGCTATATTCACCCGTGGTGTCGCTCCTGCCATCAGCCCCGTCGGCCCCCGCGGCCAGCTAGTGAGCTATATGGCTATATTCACCCGTGGTGTCGCTCCTGCCATCAGCCCCGTCGGCCCCCGCGGCCATCTAGTGAGCTATATGGCTATATTCACCCGTGGTGTCGCTCCTGCCATCAGCCCCGTCGGCCCCCGCGGCCAGCTAGTGAGCTATATGGCTATATTCACCCGTGGTGTCGCTCCTGCCATCAGCCCCGTCGGCCCCCGCGGCCAGCTAGTGAGCTATATGGCTATATTCACCCGTGGTGTCGCTCCTGCCATCAGCCCCGTCGGCCCC